GTTTTGGAAAAGAACTTTCCATATGCAAGGTACAATGGACCATCACAGGGTAAGATGGACCACAGTGGTCCGTCTTGTCCCAAATCTAAATTCTGTCATTATAATGACGTATATGTCAAATAGCCCAACATTGCAAAACCTTGCCTTTCCTAAAGTGTGACTATAACTAAGTCTATAACTTTGTTCTTCACAGTTAACCCTATTCCTGGCGGGGGGGGGGGGCTCAGGAGCCCCCCCCCCTGAGGTTTTTTGGTTATTTCTCCCAAACGCGTTGAGCTAGGAAGCTCAAATTTTCTGACTTTTCCTAAAAGGCTTCTACGCAACATGTCTGAAAATTTTGAGTTGATCTGACCTCAGGTCAGGTCACCAGAGGCGGTTTGGTGACCCTACCTCAGAAAAGTTTGCAATCACGCCAGAGCTAGAGTTTTTGACCGATCAATTTCTTCTCTTCAGGCTTTAGTTAGGGTACCAGTATGTGCAATTTGTATATCTCGTAATTTTGATATCGGTGACCTAAGGTCAGGTCAGTTTCGCGACCTCCCCATTATAAGTCAATGGGGGAAAATCAACTCCCTGTTTTTACCACTAAAACGGGTCGGAATGGCCCCATATACCATACATGACTTCATATACGATCAACCTTCACTACCTTGAGGTCTGTTTTGCTGTTGGGCAGCTGTGAGGTCATGTGACGTCATCAAAGGTCACCAAAGGTTTTTGGCCAATAACTCCGTACAGGAACAAGATACAGACGCGTGGATGGTCTCATTGTGTTCAGCTCGTCAAGACGCATCGAATGATATACATGATGACCTCGAGGTCACGTGACCTGAGGTCAACCTTTGACCTTGACTTTGCGAGGTCAACATATATATCATTCGATGCGGATTGACGAGAGGATCACGATGATGCCCTTAGTTTGTTCCTATCTTGACTAATTCGAAAGTTATTCGAGAAAAACTCTCGCCATATCTAGCGCCGCCATTTTGACTTTTTCGACCCCTGTGACGTCATCTTTGACCTGACCTGAAAATGACCTTTGTAAAAATTGTAGATCTTGACCGTGCGTATCCGATGCCGTTTACCGTTTGTCGCTATCTTGCTTCGTTCTCGAGATCTCAGGGGGGGCCGAATCGGCCCCCCCCCCCCCCCGCCAGTTTCTTGTCCCGGCGGAGCCCGCCAGGAATAGGGTTAAGTGCAAAATAGAAACTAATCATGCAAGACAGGCGCCGTAATTGAATCACCCGTAGACCTCGTATATTAGATCGGTTTGACGAAAAACAACATTTTTCTCAATAACTCAAAAGCTATGCATCCTAGCAGCATGAGCTCAAGGTGGCCATTGTTACGAAGGAAAACAAACATAGTGAGTGCATAAAGCAGTAGATACCAGCAGCGGTTCAGCCGGGAGGGCTGGTGGTCCGTCTTGCCCCGCTGGGCCGTCTTACCCCACCTTCCCCTATGTTGTTTATCTGTGGCATGGGTTGATAATCATTAAAATGATAATTAGTCCAAAGCGATTGTTTTATTGTATGGGTGCTTTCAGGGGTCATACAGCTCCCTTCATGGGCGCAGAAATGCGCTACGAATATTTGCGCCTACGAAGAAATGCGAGACGAAATAATGCGACACGAATAAATGCGCCGACGAAGATTTGCGGACGAAGAATTGCGCGACGAAGAAATGCCATACGAAGATTTGTCCTGGAATCTTCAGACTGGGCCCACTAGCTTGCTGTGAACTCCGACTTATTGAGATCTACTCACTGATATAGGGCTCCGATATTTGGAATGAGATTTAGAACACCAATACAGGCCCAAGTGGTTAATTTTCTTTAAAACGTCATGTCTTAATAGTTAATACCCAGGTAAATGCTTATTTGAAATTGTTTTAACGGACTTTCACTGGGTAGTGGGTAAAAGCTATTATTGGTCCCGGTACTCCGACTTGTATTGAAAAGTCTTCGATGGGGCACACATACAAACAGACAAAATCAAATGTAGGTTTAAAACAGACAAAAATCAGGTAGCCATTTTTCGCAACACATCAATCAAATTTCTAAATATCCAGCACGTGATGCACAACTTGCCTATTCTCATATGTAAAACACAGCCAATAGGTACACTTCCTCTTCCAAAGAAAAACTACTGTTTTAGAGCACTGTCCCATATGGGGCTAAGCGAGAATTTACCCACGCCCTGGTTTAAAGACGGATTGCACACTCGAATTTCGATCGCTTCTCTAACCACACGGCGACCCCATGTCGGCTCCACAGCTGCAGTGCTGGCCTGCCTCGGGTCGAACTGCCGCCCACACTGCAGCCAGTGTTCGGCCAAGGGGGAACTGTCAGTCCTGCAATGCGTTAGATCCGCGGCGTGCTTCTCCAAAGGGGTGGTGTACAAGACCTCGTGCGAGTGTGGTGCAACGTACGTTGGTGAAACAGGGCGCCCCAAGAACGTACGGCTCAAGGAGCACGCCGCGGATCTAACGCATTGCAGGACTGACAGTTCCCCCTTGGCCGAACACTGGCTGCAGTGTGGGCGGCAGTTCGACCCGAGGCAGGCCAGCACTGCAGCTGTGGAGCCGACATGGGGTCGCCGTGTGGTTAGAGAAGCGATCGAAATTCGAGTGTGCAATCCGTCTTTAAACCAGGGCGTGGGTAAATTCTCGCTTAGCCCCATATGGGACAGTGCTCTAAAACAGTAGTTTTTCTTTGGAAGAGGAAGTGTACCTATTGGCTGTGTTTTACATATGAGAATAGGCAAGTTGTGCATCACGTGCTGGATATTTAGAAATTTGATTGATGTGTTGCGAAAAATGGCTACCTGATTTTTGTCTGTTTTAAACCTATGTGTGCCCCATCGAAGACTTTTCAATACAAGTCGGAGTACCGGGACCAATAATAGCTTTTACCCACTACCCAGTGAAAGTCCGTTAAAACAATTTCAAATTTCTTTAAAACATAAGTAAAAAGGGCCCACTTTCGTTATATATTATGCCCCAGGTCCCCCAGAAAATGGAATTAATGGGGCCCGGGGGGACGGTCCTCCACGGTTTCTCCGGCACTGATCCCCACCAATAAATCAGAATTGAGACCAATATATCCAACCTGTCAAAATCCCTTTCAGATATCATGACTAGTAATCGGCATTGAAAAATCTAAGAGAACGGTATTTTTAGATAAATAAAAGAAGTTGACCTTTTCCTCGACATCAAAAATGTAAAAAGCCGAATAATATATTTTAAAAAAACGGTGAGCTTTCGGCCACTGGCCTTTATCAAACCAACGTGATAACATTGTTATCACGTTGGTTTGATAAAGGCCAGTGGCCGAAAGCTCACCGTTTTTTTAAAATATATTATTCGGCTTTTTACATTTTTGATGTCGAGGAAAAGGTCAACTTCTTTTATTTATCTAATTATATTCAATATGTTCCTCGCTCGAGCACTTAGTAATATTACCAATCTAGAACGGTATTTTGTAAATATTTTACCTATTTGCTGCTCCATAGCTGCATGCTCGTACAGCAGCGGCCAGCAACACCGCAGCAACAGCCAGAAAAATCAAAATATTCAACTTATCGGCGATCGAGAGCAACAGCTCGTCCATTGGTTATAATTATCGTGACGTCACGCTCAGCGACCGTCGGCGATCGTCGGATGTTGCCGACATATCGGGCAATTTTTGAACAACCCTGAATAGCATTTGGCAGCACTTCAGCAACCCAGAGCAACAGAAAAGGCTGTCGCCGAGCAACCGATTGCTGGGAGTTGCCGACGGGAGTTGCCCGTGTACAACGGGCTTAACCCGGCAGTCGCTGGAGTATTCGCCACCCGCCGTTTGCTTGGGGGGGGGGGGCGTTGGACGCCCCCAGCCGATAACTCGAGAACCAATAGGCGCAGCAAAACGCACGAAGCGGCAAGCGAAAGAACGCGACCAGACGCTTCAGATGAGCATTTGAAAGTTGACTTGTGAGGTCACAGGTGGGGTCAAGGTCAGGTCAAACACCTGGAATTGGGCCTTCAGTAGCATGAAGTCTAGAACCTCGCACTTAGCACCTCTCCTCGTCCTCATAAACTCTGTCAAAACTGTAGGTACACAATCCTTCATAAAAGTGCTGCACGAATGTCAGATTCATGAAGCGGTCAGTAAACCATAAGTCAAGGTCAAGGTCAGGGCAATCAGGTAAGCATATAGCACCGAAAATCAAAACTGGCATTCGCAGCGTATGAAAAATGTTTTATGGGTACCTTTGGGTATAGAACACGATGGTGACATTCATTGTATCATACAAGTATGTTTCGTGTCGAAAAAGACTGATTTAAGAAAAATCTTGTATTGACAGTCTAATGGCGTTTACGGCATGTTTCTACACTGATAAGTTAAGATACCCGTCGGGAATTTTTCGGGGTGTCTCACACCCTTATGTATGACACCTGTGAAGACGTACGTTCTGCTCATACATGTAGGGGAGAGTGAGGCACTTTCGTCCATGGGGCACATTCGTTTTCAGCAGTGTATGGGAACACGAGTGACTGACCGAGCTCGAGGTAAATTATGAAAATATTCTATCATTGCCGCCATTCGTCCGCTGTAGAAAACAACATTGTATCCGCTATCATGCTTTATAAAAAAAAAACGAAAAGTTGTATTATTCGTGCACTTTCCAAACTTTTTTCCAGAGCATCCATTTTCGTGATCCTGACTCGGAAATGTTTTAGGAAGGAAGGAAACAATTTTACCCTTGCACCAACCAAAGAACAGTATGGATTTATCCATTTTTACACGAATGTGCCCCACTCTCCCCTATACCTCACAGATCCTTACATAATTCCTAATGACATGTGTCGTGTGTGGTGGGTGGTGGTGGACACTGGACAGGTGTCGAGTGGCGGTGGCGGTGGACAGGTGTCGAGTGGCGGTGGCGGTGGACAGGTGTCGAGTGTGATGGGTGGCGATGGACAGGTGTCGAGTGTGGTGGGTGGCGATGGACACTGACCTGGTGGCTCCGCTGTCCAGCGTGCAGGACTTGGCGTCTGGACCAAGCAGATAGCCGGGCCGGCACTCGCAGCGGTACGAGCCGGGCACCGAGACGCAGATGTGCGCGCACAGTTGGCCCACGAACAAGTCACAGATGTTCTCAGAGTCTGCTGATCGGGAGTGAGTAGGTCATCACACAGTGGGGGTAGAGAGACAGCAGGTCATCATACAGTGAGGGATGGGGAGAGAGAGAGAGAGAGAGAGAGAGAGAGAGAGAGAGAGAGAGAGAGAGAGAGAGAGAGAGAGAGAGAGAGAGAGAGAGAGAAAGAGAGAGAGAGAGAGGGAGAACACGGGTAACCATACAGTGGAGGGACACAGCAATTCATCGCATCATGAGGGGACAGCAGAACGGTACCGGCTGGTGCCGGGAGGACGGTACTGTTTGGTGCCGGAGGACGGTACCGGCTGGTGCCGGGGGAATGTACTGGCTGGTGCCGGGAGGACGGTACTAGCTGGTGCCGGGAGGACGGTACTGTTTGGTGCCGGAGGACGGTACCGGCTGGTGCCGGGAGGACGGTACTAGCTGGTGCCGGGAGGACGGTACCGGCTGGTGCCGGAGGACGGTACCGGCTGGTGCCGGGAGGACGGTACCGGCTGGTGCCGGGAGGACGGTACTGGCTGGTGCCGGGAGGACGGTACTAGCTGGTGCCGGGAGGACGGTACTGGTTGGTGCCGGGAGGACGGTACTGTTTGGTGCCGGAGGACGGTACCGGCTGGTGCCGGGAGGACGGCACTGGTTGGTGCCGGGAGGACGGTACTGTTTGGTGCCGGGAGGACGGTACTGGCTGGTGCCGGGGGAATGTACTGGCTGGTGCCGGGAGGACGGTACCGGCTGGTGCCGGGGGAATGTACTGGCTGGTGCCGGGAGGACGGCACTGGTTGGTGCCGGGAGGACGGTACTGTTTGGTGCCGGATGACGGTACCGGCTGGTGCCGGGAGGACGGTACCGGCTGGTGCCGGAAGGACGGTACTGGTTGGTGCCGGGAGGACGGTACTGGTTGGTGCCGGGAGGACGGTACTGTTTGGTGCCGGGAGGACGGTACCGGCTGGTGCCGGGGGAATGTACTGGCTGGTGCCGGGGGATGATACATACCTGACTGGAGGCCGTGGGCGGCGGTGGCCGGCAGCACGGGCCGGGCGGCCGGCAGTGCCGGCTCCACGGCCGAGCGGTCGATGCAGCACGACACGAAACTGTTCTCCCACGGCTGGCCTAGCTTGAAGCGCGTGAAGGAGCAGCCCATGCCCATGGGGCCGACTACCAGGCCCAGTCGGCAGCCCTCGCAACAATCCTGCACGCGCAAAGCAGTCACAAATACAGTGCGAACACGAGCTAGAGGCAAATTCCGAGCTACTAGTATCAAGGTATACAAAATGCAGTATGTAATATGCATAGCGTAATGCATATGGTTCATTCAATGCCTACCCAACTACTGGACGTTATGGCGCCCCTTCAATTTTTAAGTTGGCCTTTCGGGGTCAATATGATAGAATTGTTTCATGGATTGGTTGTGTGTGTGGATGGGGTGGGGGTGCGTGTGCGTGTGTAGGCTCTTAGACCGGTGTCGGGTCCTCCAAGGGAGTAGTTAAAGGAAAGCGTAGGGATTTAGGAGTCGTTGTAGGGATATGAAAACCCTGCCCTCATATAGCAGTATGGGGTCCTTAGAGACTGCCATTCAGTCTCTGTGATTAGAGTGTGACCTAGCTTGACCTGAAAATGGATATCAAAATGCCTCACTTGAATCAAAGGGCAGGTTATGGGGATCCTGTAAGAGTTGTGACTTGTAGATGTCCTATCTCTACCAACCTGCATTCAGAGCCCTGTGCAGATTATTGCAGATTACCTCAGAACGGTGTGAGGCTGCTTAACCCGCGCCCGGCTGGGGGTCATGGATTTCCACGCCCTGCTGGGGGGGGGGGGTGTTTGAACACCCCCTTCTAACTCGGCTCCTGCGCCACGTAGCGATAAGCGGAAGGCGGTGTTCGAAAGAGCGCCAAAAATAATGACGAAATCACCTTGGTCACTTTTTTTGGTCAGGTCAAAGGTCAGGTCACCAGAGGTCATTGAAGTCAAAATTTCGCCCATTTTCAGGTCGAATGTCGACAATTTCCAGGAAGCCAACGCATAACTCGGGAACCAACAGAGCTAAAGCGCCGCGGAAAAGCGCATTCGATAGCCCTATTAACGCCCTTTCTGGGTAATGCTTTCAGATTTGACCTAACGTCAACGGTTTTGCCTGCAGGGGGCAAAAACTGCAAAAATAGCCGATTTTTTTAAAACAGTTTTTCTGCAATAATTTTTGACCCAAGCCTTGTACGAGCTTACTTTTACCGGCATCGTGTTCCTCTCGTCAAGACGCATCGAATGAACTATAACTTGACCTTGAAAGGTCAACTTGAAAATTTGACTTCAGGTCAAGGTCATGACCTGACCGGAAAAGGTCATGTTGCATATCAGTCGATCCGTATTGTCGAGCTGAACACATCTAAGGCGTTTTCACCGCTCTAGCATGCCTCTATCAAAAGTTATTTGCGAAAAAACTGTTAGACACCATTCGTGACCTGAAATGACCTCAGGGGCATAAATAGGGGTCACGGACACCATTTTCATTTTCAGTGTGTTTAAACCACTTGTAATTCAGTGTTTGGGAGTGTTTGTAATGTCTTTCGTCCAAAAGAGGCGCATTTCAATTTTATCCCATTGACTTATAACCCTCGCCCGCACATGGGGGGGGGGTTGCCACCCCCCCCAGGTAGTCTTTCTGCTCTGCACTCAACATTTTTAGAGCTAGAAGGCTGATTTTTCGTATAGCTGCTCCTCTATCCTTTCTTGATTTACACTGAAAATTTCAAGATTCTGTGATTTTTGGTTTCGGAGATATGACCTTGTTTTTCAGGTCATGTCATGACCCGAATGGCCAATTCTCAACATCTTGCGTTTGCCATGGGCCTTATGAGCTTTTGACACCCTGATTTCGGCCTTTTTTGCCAGTCTTACCTCCCACCTATCATGGAACATGTTGTCCGACGATGTACAGGGGTCAAGGTCAGGGTCAAGGTCAACCTAGGTCATCTAAGATAATTGCGTTTTAGGCAAGCTGAATTTACTTTTTTTGAAGTTTTTTGACTGCATTTTTGGTAAAAGCTTCTCAGATCATGATTTCATGCAATATGGACCCAAAAACAATCGGTGCACACATCAGTATACACACAGACACACACAGACATACAAACACATATAATTGACCTTGACCTAACTTGACCTGAAATGACCTCAGCAGCAAAATTCTGGTCGGGTAGTGTGACAAAGAGGTTCTAGCTGGCTTGGCACCAGAAAACAGCATCATCATCGGTATCTGATAAGCAGCACACTTGATATTCAACGGTGACCCAAAACAGCAACATTTTTTAGTTTAACCTGACCTGGAAGGTCAATGACTGACCTGAGAAGGTAAAACTGGGTATCATTGGATTCGTCTTTTCCCAAAGAATCTTTTTGGTTTTTACTGCTAAGCTCTATCTCCAACAGGAACGAAATGGCGCGGGGGGGTGGCAACCCCCCCCCCCCCCATGTGCGTTCTAGGATGGGAAAATGGCATGTGCGGGCGAGGGATAATGGGGAGGTCGCAAAAATTGACCTGACCTTAGGTCACCTATATCAAAATTCTTAGATATACATTTTATAGATACTGTTACCCTTATCAATCGCTGAAAGTTTCATAGCGATCGGTCACTCGGTGTAGCAATGGCAGCATTGAGCATTGAAACTTTTTATGAGGTGAGGTCACTTCAAGTGACTTGGTGACCTGACCTTGAATGACCTTGGTCTGAAATTTTTACAACATGTGTAGAATTGATGCATAATAAGGTGTACCAAAAACGTCGGCGCTCCGCGCCGCCGTTTTGAGACATTCGCGAAAAACCACAAAGGGGGTGTTCAAACACCCCCTCCCCCAGCAGGGCGCGGGTTAAACTAGTATAGTGCTCGAAAGACCGGCTTGGACCCGCCCCCCCCCCCCCAACACTATCGGGAGACCTCACATGGTAAGAGGATTCTCAGATAGATTTGAAGCTCTTATGGGGCGGGTATTCATGTGTAGGTGTAGGAGGTGTCCTGCAAACTGGACCCCTCTCACGAAATTATAGCCCAATCCTAGCATACTTAGCTAATCCAAGCAATCTTAAACGCATTCATAGTAGTAAGAAAATGGTAGAATAATGACACTCCCGTACATATAGGTCGGCGAGTGTTGAGCAATTCGTGTGTGTGTCACAACATTATTTCTAGATCTTAAATTCCTTAGCCTTGCGACTGTCAACACATTCTAATTTATTCAACACATTCTGTGAATGATTTAGTCATTCTTACGCGAAAACAAGTTTTCAACCCTCGCCCTGGCAGGGCATTTTTCATAACACGGCCTGGCAGGGGGGTGAGGGGTTGATGCGACGCCCCCCCTCGCGATTGGAACCTATGGCACCTACAAACACCAAATTTAGTAGGTAGGTGGGCCCCCAGGAGTTCTCGTCCCTGTGCAAATTTGGTTGCTCTAGGTCAATATTTAGGGGGTTTTTGGGGGGTATAAATGTAAAAATTTCGCTGAAAAACAGTTCAAAAATTTCACTTATAACTTTTGATCTAATTAACCCGCGCCCCAGTGGCGGTCTCAGCCAACTTCGCCCTAGTGGGGGGGGGGGGGCATATGTTACCACCCACCTCTAACTCAAAAACTAAGAGGGCTAGAAAGACGTGGTAAAAAGGAGTCGATAGCTCTCAATGCGTACGTTTGAAAGTATTTCGGTCATTTTTCACCTTAGAGCAATATTGGGGTCACCAGAGGTCATTAAAGGTCAAAATTTGCCAATTGTCATTATATTTTTCAGAAAACATGCCGCTATCTCAGGAACTATGGTAGCTAGAAAAACGCATGGAACAGCAATCGATAGCTTTTGAACTCTTCTTTTGAACAGGTAATTATCAATATTGACCTCAGGTCAACGGTTTAGCCTCCAGAGGGCAAAAACTCCAAAAATAGCTGTTTTACGAAAAGTGTTTTTCAACAATAACTTTTGACTAAAAAAAGCCACGACATTTCTATTGCCATAATCATGTTCCCCTCGCCGAGACGCGTCGAATTAACTACAATTTGACCTTAAAAGGTCAACTTGAAAATTTGACCTCAGGTCAAGGTCATGACCTTACCGGAAAAGGTCATGTTGCATATCAGTCGATGCGTCTCAACAAGACAAACACAATGAGACCATCCCCAGCGTTCTATCTCTTTCCAATCGCGAGTTATTGGCAAAAAAAAACTGTTTGTAGCCTCAAGTGACCTCGGATGACCTGTCTAGAGGCTATCAGCAAAAATTGACACCTTGGTCATCACGAGCGGACTAAATCATTGTGATTCTGAAATATGTGGACTGTTCCGATGCGTACACACGGATCTAGAGGCATTTTCATTTTTCTCCATTGACTTGCAATGGAAATGTCACGCCACTGACCTGACCTTAGGTCACGGATATAAAAAATTCGAGATATACAAATTGTAGGCGCCCATAACAGCATGCAATCCACCAAGTTTAAAAGCTTTCTGACAAACACTGCAGGCTGGACATGATTGCAAACTTTTTTTGGGCTTGGTCAGTTAACTTGACCTGGTGACCTGACCTGACATGAACTGGGGTCAAAAATTTCACACATTGTCCAAAATTGATGTACCAAAAGCTACCCCAAGCGGCGCGGCGCTACGCGCCGCGGTTTTTTATTCACACGCAAAAAACGCGACAGGGTGGTAACATATGCCCCCCCCCCCCACTGGGGCGAAGAGTAAGATAGAGAAAAAAGACAAGCACCAGTGAACTCAGCACGTCAAGGCGCGTCGAATGATTTACTTTTTTGTTTGTTTCAAGGTACTTAAAGTTGTTCTTAATTTTAAAGTAAACTTTAATTAACTAATTAAGTTCAAGTTAACCAAATTGCATCATATCACATATCATTCGATTCGGCTGATCACCAGGAACACAACGACACCATTTTTAAGCTCTAGCGTTATTATGTGCCAAGTTATTGGCAAAAACGTCATTTGACCTCAGTTGACCTCATTTGACCTGACCCATGGATAAGTACACCAAACAAAGAAGCACCAAGTGATCTGCTGTTAATTAAGTAATTATGGTTTCTATTACTATGTTAATTAATACTATGGTTTCAAAGCACAAAAGTGATGAAACGAAGCGGATATATCCAGTGTTTTCCGAATTAAGTATTTTCCCCATAGGCTTAGCATTA